GGATGGAAAAAGCAAACGAGTAAGAAATATTGATTCAATCAATGACATAAAATAAAACTACAGAATCATTTCTCTTAACGAATTTTACGCAAATCCTGAATATCAAATCAATTGGGATTAAGACTTTTAATATAAATATAGAAAATTTCATATTTTCCAAAATAGAAAAAAGATTCAACAAATTAATATGATTTCAGAGGTAAAAAAAAAATACATTGTTATCTATTTATATTATTGTATATTTTTTTAAAACTTTTTCTCCTTTTTTTTTGAAAATCACAACTACCTATTCTCTCTAAGGATTGGGAAAACATTCATTTCGACAAAGTCAGTCCACGATTATGGTCAATTAAGGGAATATTTTTATCCTTGAAATCAAGTGGAAATTGGAAGTACTTTGTACATATATTTTGTACAAAAATGTTTACAAATTTTATTCAAGCTAACCAAATCAAAACAAAAATGATTGAACGTCGATAACATAGATTTATCTTTGACCAAAGTAGAGTTCCTTCCATATCAGAGCTTCGATTCTAAATTCCTTAATCTGGACTTATTTTTTCAGTCACAAGTCGTGTTATCGAAAGGAGTAGATATTCTAATTCGACAACACGTAGAGCACATTGATTGCTGAGCGAATCATCCAAGGAAAAATAATTTTTGCCGATTATCCAAAATGAATAGATTTGAACGCGACCATTATATTGGGAGATTTATATACATAAATATTTACGAATCAGCAAGAACTATTCAAAAAGAAAGAAATAGAAATATTGAGAATCAACTTCGTTATAAGCATTTGGGTTCATATTTTCAAATCATGGCGACTTTTAGCGTCAAAGTAATGGTTTTGTCGGAACAAATATAACAGTTTTTTTTGAAGATTATTCCAAGGCGTTAATGATTTTATTTTGCGATTTTTATCGTTTGGTTTGAGTTTAGAGTTATATTATCATGAATTTTTCTGTGTTTTCGGGCGAAAATCTCAACTACTCGATTTTGAAGTGGACCATATTGTTATACTTATTTTTAATCTTAACGAGTTACAATTCCATTGAGACACTTCAGACTTAAAATGAGAAATGTAATAAAAACAAAGCACTTTATCTGGATTATATTTGGCTCCTTTTTATCGTAATAAACCAAATTCTAGCCAAAGAATCCCAAAGTATTTGCCAGGAATTCCTTATTTTATGATTGAAGTACCATTGGTTTAAGGAGAACATTTCAGAAGGCGTGTTAACCCTTTTATTTCCTCAAAGACCGCAAGAATCTAACGCCAAAACCACTGGACATTGAATTCCGAAGATACGAGAGACCAACAAACCCAAGCAAAGTTACTCGTGGCTACTATTTGGTGAAGTCTATCAAGTTAGACAAAGCCGACCATCAAGTATGTGGCCTACCACATACTAAAACTAGGATCTTAGTATATTAAAAGTGTCGTAAAATAAGAAAGTGTGAGCCAAATCTTTCTTCGGAATAGTACACCTGTTCGAAGTCTTCGAAACATGAATTGCAATCTCATTAACATTTTATGTCTGAATATTTCACGAGTGTTTCTTCAAAACACGTACCGAGGTTTGAGAGTTTTGACGAAAAATAGAGAATTTTTGTTAACTTTTTAGCTTTTTCCTTTTTATTTATTTGTTTATTTATTTATTTGTATCGCTATAAATGTAATTACAAACGAAAAAAAAAACCTAATATCTAAGAAGTCTTACTTTATGACTCACACAAAAAAATTGTGATGTAAACAACGACTATCCTCTTAGTATAGTAAATAGCTCGGTCAATCTTCACTCTAACATTCTCCGGCGTTTCAAGATTTTGATCAACATTTCTGCGTTTTAGCTTTCCCTGAAGTCTATAACACATAAATACGTTCAAGGAAAACTTGATTCAATATTCTAAGCAATTATAACTAGGAAAAAATATATATTTATATATCTTCGTAAAATTTATTTAGAATTTTTGACTTCAACGTTTACATTAAACTGCTGGCTGATAGAGCTTAGAATGTGCACTTTGGGGCTAGCGTGTTGATAAAAAATCAGGCTTTTAATTCATTTTCTTGGACCTTACAAGCACAACAGTTCTTCATGGATTTTCTATTCTTTATCGTTTACAACTTGTGAACTTCATTAGATAAAATTGCCTTGCCCCTACTGTGAGGGGAACTCATTTCCATTTTCTGAAATTTCAACCAAATGAAGGTTTTTTTGGTTTGAAGTGAATTTGTACCCGACTATTATCGTTACCACTTGTTTTGAGAAGTACGTCACTCACTGCTTTTGCTAATCACAATCGTGTGAAGATATCTCAAACTAAGTTACTGGTATTCTCGAAGGAAAAATTATAATTGAATTGTGACTATTGATCAATCATTCACAACTTCACAGAACACTTATAATATGTTAACACTTTTAAATTCATAAAGTAAAAAACCGAAAATTTCCGACTCCCAATACGATTTTACTAAAACTTTCGAGAAAGAAACTATCTGTATTTTACGTTTCAATGTATACGAAAAAGCGGATTAGAATTGCTGCATCTGGCAGAGAAAATAATTCCGTTGGTAAGAAAGTCATTAATAATTAAAGATTTCTGGGTTTCAGTCAAATAATAATTTTTCATGTAATTGAATTTGGCTTCTTATATTAATGTAGCTGGGTATACTTCGTCTCGTTTTTCGCAATTTTATCTTAAGGAAATTCCTTTACATGGAGCTTTCAACAGATACTAAAAGTTTGGAAAATATTTTCCTCAACATCGATGTAATTCTATCTGTTTTCTTTCTTTCTTTTTCGTATTGGTTCACAATTCAAGAAAATTAATATTTAAAAGCCAAAGAATCGCATTTTCTTTCCCTGCGGTAAATTTCTTTTAAAGTTTCTAAATACTCTAACTTTTCGACTTATGTTTAAAGCCAATTTTTTACCTGGTAGGTGCTTCAGAAACTATACTATTTGCCTTTGTTATTTACATTTGGTTAGCAAACGAGTATTGACTTTAATAATACGTGAATAAAAAATTTAGACTGTTTCTCGATAATGGTTTTTTATCGCAAACATTTTCAGATCGACTTTCTTTAACTTCAACTTCGTACGATGTACAATTGTACGGTTTTTTTCCAGCGAGTCAGATAAGAAAAAACCATGGCATTGTTTACTATTGAGCCCAACAGAATAGCAACTGGTACCACAAGCATGGCGTTTGCTTAAACAAACCCTAAGACTAAAACAAAAAAACGTTTCTTACTTACCAGAAATGGCACACAGTGCTCCGACAAGTTTTCCCCATAAAGATTTGGGCGATATATCTCCATATCCAACTGTTGTCATAGTGACAACAGCCCACCAGAAAGAGTGGGGAATGCTTTGGAAATCACTGTCTAAACCTCCTTCAGCGTAGTAAACACAGCTTCCAAATATCATTACTCCGATTCCCAAGAAAAACATAAGCATAAGAAGTTCGTTTAAACTTGCTTTTAGAGTGTTTCCGAGAATCTGTAGCCCTCGTGAGTGGCGGGACAACTTGAAGACACGAAACACTCTTACAACCCTCACAACTCGTAGAACTGAGATTGACGAGTTTCCATTCTTATCGAGAGCTAGTTGGACATAGTAGGGCAATACGGAAAGAAGGTCGATAATGTTAAGCGAAGAGACAAGGAATTGTATTTTGTCGGGAGAGACGAGCAGTCGAAGTAGATATTCCCCGGTGAACCAAATGATAACAAACGTGTTTAGCATAAACCATGTCTCGTCATACGGACCTGGAGGAGGTAGCCAGTCAGCCGTTGCATTCTCGGGTTTTTTCGGAGGCTCGGGAGAAAATTCAGGCAGGGTCTCCACGCAGAATATAATCAATGAAAGCACGATGATGACCACGGAGAAAATCGCAAGGAATTTTGCGAAACAAGAATATTCAGGAAATTCCAAAGTTTGCCATATAACTCGACAATAAAAATTTTTGGGAAGGATTTTTTCCCCCGGCTCATCGACTATGCCAGCTTCTTGTTGCACCGTATTCAAAGCTTCCTCCGGCAGATCGTAGAAAATGGCTTCGTTTATAAACACATGCGGTGGTACGTGTTCAGGGCGGATTAAAGTTCCACCGGCTTGATAGTAGTATAGAACTGCGTCGAACGCCGACCGATGCCTGTCGAAAAAGTACTCCCCTTTCTTGGAGTTGTAGAACTTGGCTCTTCGCGACGGGCATCCGAGAAGCGTATCAGGAAATCGTGCTAAAGTTTCTTCGTAAGTTTCGAACCTTTTCCCAGAGACGTTGATCACGATTGGATCGCTCATACTGGACGCGGCAGCCGTTTGCCCTATACCATCCATCTGTTCAATGATCTGTTTATATCGATAGATGCCGGTACCGCGAGGCGGCTCATTGCTATGTTGGACCGTCGACGGTACTGATGCAGTTGTCAACATTAAAGAAATAAGATGCAATCCCAAAATAACGGATTATACTTGATATACTCCCACTAGGCCACAAGCTAGCCTCACGCGTGCGCGATTCCTATTTGTCCAACTGTCACAAAATATGTATCTTTTAGCGTCTAGTGGAAGGAGATAGCCCGATGATGAAAGCGCACTAGAAAGGACAGATCTTCCTATTTCGTCCTAATTGAACAAATGTGGAGCTCTACACTTGTTTATGCCAATTTATTCATGGCGCTTTCCTACCAACCACTGAATTCCCCAATCAATATTTCATGGACTTGTCTCGAATTATCATTGTCGCCTAGTGTTATGCAAAGGACCAAGCTCTGCGGGTTTTGCAATACCTTTAAAAAGCTCGGAAGACAAATTCGGCAAAATCTTCAGATAAACACTAAAACATTGTTTAAATCTCAGATGTGAGTATCAAGGAAATGAAGTGTATAGCTTGCTAAATCTACTGAGTGACGAAAACGACCCCCAAAATAATCCCGAATTTTTAAACTTTTTTTCTTGGTTTTATCATCGCATTTTAGAGTTGTGAGCATGAAAACTGAAAACCGCGCATGCTGGGAGTAACTTAGCTTATAAATTATTTTCTTTTTTTCTTAATGTAAGTCACATTTTTTTCGATAAGGTAGTGGTATTTGGCTTACTCACTAAAGATATATTTTGAACTTAGACGGAAGTGCGAAGTGGCTTATGATTTTTGAAGTTTTCTAGATGGATTGTTTTCCTTGTTACATCTGTCACATTTCTCGTTGCCAAGTCGACTTGATACTGCTCCACAAGACACCTGTTCTTGCGCTATCCGAATTAAAAATCTACAGCATTTCTTACCTAAATAAGATGAAACAACATAACGTTTCTGTTAAGACAACATTGAGGACTAAACTAAGTTAGTTTGTCATATACAAGTAGTAAATTCAACATCCGGGACGTTAAGGATGTAGTTCTTCAGGCCACTGGAATCTAAAAAGAAAGGTCTTGATTTCAAAATATTTAGATAGCAAAATTCAACAATCCTAATAGCCTAGAGTCAAAAATTATGAATAAACAAAACTTTGCTGTCCGTATTTATCGCCAAATGTGAAATTTAAAAGTGCTATAGGGAAAAAAATTATTTCAAATGAAATAAAATGGCTTTTTTGTCGACCTGATTTGGTTTGACTTCCTCTGTTTTTCTAGTTCAACGAGTTTAGAAAAGAAAGAGGTAAAGTAAGGAAGCTTTGTGAATATGGATTTGTATTTTACGGAAATAATTTTGAGTAGAGCTGCATTGTTTTCTCTAAGATACCCTCAAGATACAGAATGTAAAAGAGGACAGTTTACGAGGCATCCCAAATGTTTTCTTAAAACAACTGAACCTATAACAACAAATTTCATAATATATATATTCTAGATTTCTTACAGAAATAAACGAACGAGGGAATAAGAAGATTCTTAACTACATAAAACTATTACTTTTTAACACTCTACAAAATATACTAAAGTATTTTATCGACTTAAAAGCTATTACTGGACAAGTCTTCTTCCTATTATTCTTATTGAAATATAAATGAATATTCAAGCAAATATAGAAAGTTAATTTATTCCTAAAAAATATATAAATAAAATAATATTTTCAATGCTCTAAAATATTTTTATTTAAATGTATAAAAAAAGCTTATGACATCGAATAACAATGAAGAAAGTAATGGAAATGTTCTCAGTTGTAAGAGAAAACGTTTTCTGAAATTTCTATAGTATGTTTTTCGTTTTTAAATGAGGATTGTTGGAGCTACGTTTGCTCATAAGCCCCCGCCTTTATCCGCGTTAAGGAATGGCTGACCACAATCCTATGTGGTCTTAAAAAAAACCTTAAGTTCAGAATCTACAAATTTAAAACTTTCATCACATTAATGATGATATTTGACACGGTTTTATTACTTTAAACCAATAGCTTAATTTCTAAATTTTAGGAATTACTATCGGCTTCAAGCTCCGAGTCTATAAGTCAAAATATGYAAATAACCTCAAATTGTGTGGCTGTCTTCTGATTGACTGAAATATAGCTACAACAAAGTACGCTAATAAATGATTGACAAGAAGCAAAACACACCCTTTGGCGCCAAAAATCAACCAATCACAAGCGTCCAATTTTGTACACCTGTTTGAGTTCTCTAAACAGTCTACTGATGACCTTACATATTCTTATAACAAACCATATACGGAGCACCAATAACAAGTAATGAGAATTTAATTTTTGATACACTGGTAGATCAGACTCGTTAATATTTGGTGATAAATTTTCTGGGCGGTTTATTTCATTTTATTTATTTTCGTCTGAATTGAAAATGAATTTCACATTTTGAAAATGGAAAAATCAATCAAAGTAGACGATTTTTATCTCAAAAAATATTCATATTTACTAAGCCAAATTCGAAGATAAAAGTTCGAATGAACACTCAAAAAGTGTTTAAATATTTTATAACTTCGGGAACAAAATAAAATCTTTTCTAGCTGGAAATTTAGGTGGCAAATTTTGATTTTAGACGGTTTTTCATTCTTCGTAAAAATCTAAAATGTTATCTATTAGATTGAACGAAGATTTCATGCTTAATCTCTTCTCAGTGACTTTGAATAAATATTTTGACAAGTTATTATATAGTCCTAGAATCGGATTCAGTTTTTGGTACCGTAATTCGGTCCGAAAGGCATATTTTTTAAGATTAAACAGAGTCAAGTACTTGGTAAAGAATTTTTTTTTTTTTTTTTTTTGCGCGGGAATAAGATCGGATTTTAAGACAATTGCTTGGGCTCAATTAAGAGTATACACCGACTTCGATCCGAAAATAAGATAGCTGAGAAAGTATCTTGCTGAGCAAAGTTATTACATCGCGAAAATGAAAATACTATCCAGAAAGTGATTCGCAGAAACAAAGATGAAGGAGTTTAGGCATTTGATTGAACCTCAACCGCTGTTTGCGTCATTTGTTAGGAGTTCTCCATAAAGTCATCACATATCGATGAATTCAGTCATCCACCACAATCAATGTTCAGAAGGAAAACATTGAAGAGGTCATCAATGAACACGCTATCCCTAAATGCTGTTCGCTGATTGGCTGAATGTACCTGACAGGTAAATTAGTATAATTAGCCCAGGAACCAATCGGATATCATTTTAGGGACAACATAACTAGGTATTATCAAATATTCATAATTTGGTAAAAAAGGGCGGGAAGATTAGGACGCGTGCGCGCCCTGGTTTATCGCATAAGCCAAGTGACAAAAACATCTCAAAAATTATTTATAATCTTAATTGGTACTGAGTTTTATTGGTAACAGAAAATAGATTTTTTAGCTAATATATCTGTTGTTGAAATCGTTTAGATTTCAAAAGGATTTTTTAGGCCAAGGCTGTAGCAAGATAATGGAACAGTGAAACGAATTCTGAAAAGTGAAAAAATGGATAATATATATAAAAAGCAACATGTTCTTTACTAAACAATTAACAAGAAAAGATAACTATAATATTAACAGAGGATAAGAATAAACTTTATTTAAGTTTTGATTCAAAATTTATTTTTCTTATGTTTTTCATGAGGTATGTAGGCGTTGAACATTTCAACTCAACAGCTAGTCAGAACTGAGGCAAAGGATACTTTGAATGCCACAGTGAACGCGTGAGCCCCAACAACCCACTACGTGGGCACAAAATACAAGACCATCAAAACTATGGGCCAAAATTAAAAATAGACCTCTTTACTTTGAGCGCAATGTTTTCCCATTTCAGACCACGTGTTATGCTCAAGAGTATCATTTCTTTGTTTAATGGTTGCGCATGAAAAGAGACATGAATATGGATGCAACTCAAACAGAGAATCTTATTCTCATGTGTCATTGCCTAGAGTATCATATACGGTTGTATATGAGAAGACACATGAATGTGGATACGACACACTAAGAATCTTATTCTCATGGGCATGTATACTATTCCCTAGAGTATCATTTCTTTGTTCAATGGCTGTGCATAAGACACATAAATATGGATACAGCTCAAAACAAAGAATCTCATTCTCTAGAGCATGTGTAATTCTCTAGAGTATCATTTCTTTGTTTAACGATTGCGCATAAGGACCTAAGACACGCACCGTGAGATTTTTATCCGTGTTCTCTTAGTGATATCCTATACTGCTCTGCGTTAGAACGTATTGTACCATTTAAACCCTTTCGTCCCTTCCGTCCCTCTCGTCCCTCCGTCCCTCCCGTTCCTCCCGTCCCCTTAGTTAAATTGGGTCCCCGTAATATGACTATTGTTTTTCCATTTCAGACCACGTGTCATGCTCAAGAGCATCATTTCTTTGTTTGACGGTTGCACATGAGAAGACACATGAATATGGATACAACTTAAACAAAGAATCTTCTTTTCAGTGTCATTCTCTAGAGTATCATTTCTTTGTTTAAAGGTTGCGCATGAGAATTCACATGAATAAATATGGATACAACTTAAAGAATCTTCTTTTGAAGATCAAGTTTCATTCCCTAGAGTATCATATCTTTGTTTAAAGGTTGCACATGAGAAGACACATGAATATGGATACAACTCAAGCAAAGAATCTTATTCTCAAGACCATGTGTCATTCCCTAGAGTATCATTTCTTTGTTTAACGGTTGTGCATGAGAAGACACATGAATATGGATACAACTCAAACAAAGAATCATATTCTCAAGACCATGTGTCATTCCCTAGAGTATCATTCTTTGTTTAACGGTTGCACATGAGAAGACACATGAATATGGATACAACTCAAACAAAGAATCATATTCTCAAGACCATGTGTCATTCCCTAGAGTATCATTTCTTTGTTTAACGGTTGCACATCAGAAGACACATGAATATGGATACAACTCAAACAAAGAATCTTGTTTCCAAGACACGTGGTCAGTTAGGGGAAAACATTACACCACGACGAATGAAGTCTATGAACCCCTCGCGGAATGCAGGTAGTCAATTTGGAGGACATAACAATAGGTTTCCAATACCCATGAGATTGAAATTCTTTTGTTTTGTCCTCCAAATGGAGCTGCTTTGACGTCACATGCAAGGGGTCTATTAAGGACTATAACTTGCATTGATATCATTCTAGTCTTTGAGCTCATCCTCCATGACGGACCATACCACCTTAGCCATGTATGGTGTCATGACGGAGTAACAGTTCCTTTTCCACTCCGAGAGGATTGTGGGTAAGATTCTCCCTTCTTCCTCGTTCAATTCAGAATTTTCTTCTCTCTGATTCATAAAGTTATCCTGTCGATGCTTCATCCTTAGCCTGACTCGTTTGACCGGGCTGGGAGGCAAAGAAACCGGCTTCTTAGACTCATGACTTCTGCGAGAAGAACTTTGAAATGCCTTTTCTCTCAGTGCAATTACTTTTTCTGGGCATCCAGATATTTTCATCTCTGGTTCTGACAATATAGCTCTACCAACCTCTAAATCTTTAGCAGAAGTTGAACCACTTGGTCTATAATTTAATAAAGCTTCGACATCCAAGGAGAAATCTTTTTTGGTTAATAATTTGAAAGCATCCTCTCCAGAATTTCTATGGCACGTTAATCTTTCTAAATTTAAAGATTTAGATTCTTTTTCTTGCCTTCCAATATCACTGTTTACTTTGTGCTCTTTTTTCTTATTTTGATACAGAATTTCTTCTTCAGATTGGGATCCTAAACCTGTCAAATAAAAACTTGGTTTCTTCAAAGAAGGAAACGGTTTTCCCTCGTCTTTCTTTGAATCCATTTTTGCTGTTCTGTCGCTTGCACTGTGTCTCCTCATCTTTTCCTCGGCATGAAATCTTGAAAATATTTCTTGATGCTTAACTGGTATCCTCGAAACGTCTGCTAGTATCCTAGAAGAATTTCCACACTTTGTGGAAGAGGTTTTATGAAGGATTTTGGAACCGTAAGCTTCTTTTCCTCCAGCCGTCAGAGTTCCCCCAGATTTTACGTTTGTAAAAGAATTTTTCTTGTCACTAGGCAACGCTGTGACAACAAATCTCGAGAAAGGACTTGACGGATTTCCACTAAAAGGCGGTTTTATTTTTTGATTTAGCTCAAAATTAACCACTTTTGTGTTTCCAAAACTGTATTTACTGTCTTGCGACGATCTTTTCGCTGTTGTGCTATGTAAACACGATGATTTTTCAACTAAGTAAAGATCATTATTTAAAGTGTCATCTTTGAGTATTTGCCTTCTCTTGCTAGAAATTCGTTGCAATTTTTCTGATTCATTTTTCTCACTGACCACCACGTTTGTCGATAATATTTCCCTAGGTATCTCTGTCTTTTTCTGTTCAATTCGAGCATCTTCCATCAGAGGTAGAATACGCGTATTTTCACACGTTTTCTTCTTCACAGCAATTATCCTCTGCTGCTTATCAAACGCCACTTCATTCGTTCTCATCATCTCATAGCCATACAACTTATTTTTCAACAGCCGGCCCTGTTAGCTTCATTGAATTACACTCTAAAAAAAATCGTGTCTCAATAAAAAGCATAAATTATCTCGCATTTTTACGGATGAAATTTCGAATTTCTGGCTTAATTCCTTGGATGGTAACGATTCATTTTCACACATTATGACAAATATCGGATCCAACACATTTCTCTAATCGCTTCTCTTTCTCAGTCTACTGTTTATTTTCGTTGTCTATTGTTCGAGTATTTACATATTTATTAATTTGGTTTGTCGTCTAGCCATTTCATTTATCTACCTGCTGTAAGCAGGTGCCGAGTTCGGAAGCTGTTTCGTTTAGCTTCATTTAAAAACGGAAGTCGGATGGTAATTCAGTTTATTTTTTCTGTGGAAAAAATAAATTTTCTCTGTATTGACCACATACAGCTTTTGTTCACAGTTAGGCTTTTGTGATGTAGTCTTTAGTTCGAAATTGTTTCCGACATTATGAAATTAAAACAATATGTACAAAAACTGAAACATCTTTGATGTTTGTGTACAATGCTTTTCTCGTCATCTTCTCTTGTTATGTACACCAACATGGCTGTCATGCCTCTATTTTTGGTTAGCATGTGACGTTATCACTGCCATGTTGGTGTACCGTTAACCAAAGATTTCTTGTGAGCTTCTCTCGCTACGTACGCAAACATGGCTGCCATGCCTCTATYCTTGCAATTTTTTAACATGTGACACCATCACCGCCATTTTGGTGTACCAACATAGATGCCGTGTCTATGTTGTACATTTCTTTACCCTTATTAGGAAAAGTTTGCTTTCGATTGGCTTGGAAAAACAACCAATCAGAGACGCACAGCACAGACCATTAACAAAACAATAACTATACCATAGCCTTAGTTTAACTATTTAACAAATTTATATTTATTTATTGACAAATTAATTCAGCAATACAATTTAAATTGATGGATTTATCCAAAAGCGTAGACAAAAAATACCGCTGGGGTGCCTGTGGCTGCACTTTCTATAGACCTTTTCTGGAGTAACGAACGAGGTGCATTATGGTCTACTTTGGGTTAAAACATCTTTGGTTCACCATGCCTTATATGATGGTGTTTGTAACCATGCTAGACCACAATGCATCATTTTCGTGAGTGAACAGATCTCATTCCTGACTGCCGTACTTCAACAGCCGAATGACGTCATCACATCGGAATTTGCCATTCTCGTCTGTGATGGAGCCATGGAGGAAAATCTCATCAACCTTTGGAAGATAAAAAAGATAGAAATGAATCTTTTGTTAAGAGTGAAGGGGATCGTTTTTAGGAATTCAAGCACGGCTAACACCAGTCACAGCTACGTTAAACCCTGAAACAACCTCTGGGCTGATCTACGTCAAGGCACGGCTTACTCACAGATTGAACCCTGGAACAACCTCTGGGCTGATCTACGTCAAGGCACGGCTAACTCAAAAATTGAACCCTGGAACAACCTCTGGGCTGATCTAAGTGAGGGCATGGCTAACTCACAGATCGAAGCCTGAAACAACCTCTGGGCTGATCTAAGTGAGGGCATGACTAACTCACAGATCAAACCCTGAAACAACCTCTGGGCTGATCTAAGTCAGGGCATGACTAACTCACAGATCAAACCCTGAAACAACCTCTGGGCTGATCTAAGTCAGGGCATGTTTAACTCACAGATCAAACCCTGAAACAACCTCTGTGCTGATCTAAGTCAGGAGACTAGCTCGATCACAGATGCTGAATTGCAATTTAGATTTAGTGTCTTAGGTTTGGCAGGGGTGGGGAGGGGGGAAACCGGAGAAAATTTGGGGAAAACCCCTCGAATCAAGGGAGAGATGAGTTATAGATTATTCCATCACCACTACTACCACCATCATCAACATGTTCATCATCATCATCAGCAACATCAACATCATCACCATTATCATCACTATTATCATTATCATCATCATCGTTACTATCATCACCCCCATCATCATCATCGTTACTATCATCATCATCATCATAATCGTTACTATCAACATCACCATCATCGTTACTATCATCATCATCGTTATCAATATACGTATGACATCTAAGCCTCATTTTCATGTACACACTAATGAACGCACCTGTTGATGTGTCAGCCTCGATCCCATGGTGGTCAACAGCTCACGGAACTCCGCCAGATCAATAAACCCATTTCCGGTTTCATCAAAACACGAGAAAGCGTTTTTTATGAGTTCCTCCGAGTCAACGCATTCCATCTGTTCCCCAAACATCGCCATAAAATGTACCAAGTCAGACGGCACAGGCATCTCTTTCAGCATCTCTCGAATCTCTGACTCCGTAGGGTTTTGGCCCAACGACACAAGGATGTCATTCAGATCTTTCTTGCTGATCTCTCCGTCTCGGTCTTGGTCGATAAAGTTGAAAGCTTCTTGGAGTTCTTCAATTTGTTGAGTATCGAAGTGCGACAAAATTCCTTGTTTTCGTTTCATAGTCGAGTTCAATCTAGATCTTCGTCGCGACTGGATTTTCGCAGCATCGTCGCTTCTGTCTCTCTTCTTAAACATCGTCTTTAGCTTCAAAACTGATTCTGGTTTACGAGTAAAATTTTTCAAACCAGTTATTCTCTTCAAAATGAGCCACACTTTTCAAGGAAATTCAAAGACTTTTGATTTAACAATATGCTTAATTTGTTAAAATTTTAAAGGAATAAAGATAAACTTATTAATAATTTTGGTTAAAAGCCAGATGATTGCTGCTTGTCCCTACACACTGCACACTGATTGGCTCGAATAAAATGATTGACAAGCGCTGTGATTGCTTGCTTGCTCAAAAATAAAAATATCGGGGGGGCAAGGACGTAAATTTGAATATAGAGGGAACGTGGTAAATGTCCAAACAAAGACATGGGTGTTTTCCCGCGTTCAATGAATAAACATCTTTGCTTTGGGCGTCTGTTTGGGCGTAACGTTTTCCCATTTCAAACATTCCAAACAAACAAAGATTCTTATTCTCAAGAGAATGACACGTGGTCTGGAATGAAAAAAAATTGCGCCGAAGGTAATAAAAGAGGTCTTTTCCACCAAAGGGATCCCAAGCATGTCATTTTCACCCCAAAGCAAACGTTAACGTGCTCAACAGCTTTGCTTTCTAACATCGTGTTTAGCGAGACTACATTGAGGTCAAAACCTGTGCCAATTGTTTGAAAAGATCAATTCAAGCATGTATTTACTCTTCAATTTGCATGCTGTTGTGGTCAATGAATCTCCATTTCGTCTGTCTTTTGACAATGTTTTAACAGCTTGATGCTGCAGGGATGGAGAACAATGGCATTTTATATATAAAACGCCGGTAAAAGCCTTTCAAAATTCCAACAACAACAAAAACAAAAACAAAAAAACAACAAAAAAAAAACATTAATTCTTTTAAAGAAAACAAATTTAAGCTTTTCCCAAAAATTCGGAATTTAAAAGTTTTATATTTTAAGACTTAGAAGAGTTTCGGTTTTCTTCCCCGGTGAAAAGTAAAAGTAATGGCAACCATATATTCTCCTCTTTCCTCTCTTAAGACAAATGAACTGGTGATTTGTTTACGATCGAGAACTGAACCAAATCGATCAATTGTTACGTACCCCTCCCCCGATGGGGAAAGTTTGGTAGCTGTGTTTCTCACCCGTCCGTCCAAGACAGATGGTAAACATCGCTGAACGCTTTGTTATTTAGCATCAGCACAATGAAAACGAAACACGTGGAGAAAAGCCATTATATGTCATTTATCTATAAACCGAAACCACGTAGCTTCATCACAAACTTCCAGTTGATGTCATTGAAACAACGTGTGGGGTTCCTGTGTAGCACAGGAAGCCCACAAAAGCAAAAAACATTAACTTGAAACGCCTGGCACAAAAGGTTTTTTAAGGGGGAAAGAGGAAAGAAAGAAAGATTTCTTGTCGTTTTTGTCTCGATGAGCGCGAATAATGGTGTAGAAGTTATCATAAAGCTCGGAGGTAGTGCTATTACGTATAAAAATGAATTGGAAAAGGAAAACTTGGTGGCTTTTGCGAAAGCTGCGAGGATTGCTGCTGGTTTGAAGGGAACTTGCATCATAGTTCACGGAGCAGGGTAAAAATGTTTTTAAAACGATTCTTTTTGCTTGGAAGCCGAGTTTAGTAGTATTTGCACGTTTTGATAGGAATTGTTGCACATGATTATTGGTAGTTGAGACCCAAATAATATCAAAAAAAAAGCAACAAAAATTGAATTGCCATCATCATCATCACCATCATCATTACCATCATCTTTACCATCATTATTACCATCATCATCATTACAATTGCCATCATTATTGCCATCATCATCTCTAAGATCATCACCATCATCAATACGTTACCATCAATACCATCATCAGCATCATTTTCACTATTAGATCTTAAAGATCATCACCATCATCATCATCACTATCAACATCATCAGCGTCATTATCACTAAGATCAGCATTATCAGCATCATCAACATCAACATCATCATTATCATTATTATGTTACTTACCTTAAAAATAATAACATGATCAATAAACCTACCTTAACTTAACGTCTCAGGTCTTTTGGCCATTTCCAAGCACATGAATATGGAGTTGCCAAAGGATTTGGTTGTGATGTAGATCATACAAGAATAGGGTTTGCAATGACAAGATTGTCTGTAACAAAGGTATATAGAAAATACAATATATATTGACAGGGAATTTAGAACACAGTTTGGGATAACAGTAAAAATGTTGGAAAGATGAGCAAAAATACAACGTGCTTTCTTTATCGTAATTTCAATAATATTTAATCATCAATTAAAATAATTAATTTAATAATTAATTTTTTCAAAAACTTTGAACGATTTTTAAAATATAATTAAGAATTTCCTCATATCCAGTGCAAACAATAATCTGTGAAACACTAATTACTAAATAGTACGAAATAATGCTAATTAAACAATAGAAAACAATGGAATTTGCATGAAATTGTGCTATTTAGTATTACTAAAGGCTCGCGGTTATATTGTTTGCACTCTATATATAGTCTTTGATTAATTAGTTTTTACTTAGTTTATTGTGAAGTTTTTTTATTTTTTTACTTTAGTTTTATTATTTGAATTCACAAATTTACTACAGTGTTCTTTGATTACATTTCATTCTGGTTTACTCTAGCTCAATCACAAAGTTACTGAATTCTTTGTCAGTCAAGGCATACCAGCTATTGGTCTCTCTGTAAGTAAAAATCCTATATTATTCCATGTTGGGATGTACAACAGAAAAGCCCTGTGTGACTAAATGATTTTTTGTGTTGATTTCTTGCTAGTATCCAGTGACATTTTATTTATTATTATATTTTACTTGTTTTTATATATCAATATATTTATATTATTGTGTATTTTTTTTTTCTTTTTAAATATTTTTATCATAGCTATTTATTCTTTAGCTCGCTCAAACTAGCACTTGTGTGCCATCATATTTAGTGAGAATAAATAAAGATTCATTATTATTATTATTATTATTATTATTTTACTTATAAAGTTTATGTAGATTGGGTGAAAATTTCAGCTAAAATATGTGCACTTCCTAAAATCTAAAACTAAATCCCCTACGTGGGGGTCAAAACAATTGAACATATTATCATAAAAGATTTCAATCCTCAAGAGAAGGGAATTCTTAAAATATTTTGACCCTTAGATTGAGCTGCTTTGATGCCACATGCAAGGGGTCTATACCTTCTTGAACTCTTAGGCCTGTCCACACTATGCCTGATAAATTGGAATCTGAATTTTCAAACCAAAACCGAAAAAAAAGTTTTCCCTCCACACTACTACGGCTAACCGGCGTTTTCAAATTGTTCCACTCTGGAGACCGTATTCGAAAAAAATTGTTTTTGGTGAATCGCCTGGACTAGTGTGGACGGTAGGCCTAAGTGAATAAATAAAAATTCAGATTCAAATTTATCCGGCATAGTGTGGACAGGGCCTTAGACTCTTGTTAAGTTGCTGGACTTATATGTCCTGGTTCTTAATGTACATTTATCAATCTTATAGCCATGTGGGACCTGGTTAACCTCGTCAGGTCACGTGACAACAGCAGTTGTTGATAATCTGGCCAAACTGGTTTTTGCTGGTTTTGTACCTGTTTTGCATGGAGATTGTGTCCTTGATACTGATCAAGGCTGTGCAATACTTAGTGGTGATAAGATTATTGAGGTAATGTAGAACAAATATCAGTTGCACCCACCACTACCTCCTTAAGGAAACATAACAAATAAATGGATGACTGAAAGATGGTTACATGTTTCATTTTTCTTCCCTGCATCCATCTATCCATCCATGCATCCATTTATTCACCCATCCATCCATCCATTCATCCACCCATCTATCCATCCATCCCTTCATCTATTCTTCCACCCATTCATTCTTCATCCATCCATTCATGCATCCATTCCTTCCTACCTTCCTTCCTTCCTTCCTTCCTCCCTCCCTCCCTCCCTCCATCCGTCTACCTTTATTCCTTTACATTTTTTCTTTTCTTTTGCAATTCACTTCATTCTTTTATAATCTAGAGACTTGTTCAAGAACTGCAGCCAAAGAGGGTAGTGTTCCTGACAGATGTGAAAGGCATTTATGACAGACCACCAGAAGAACAAGGTACATAAAAATGATAAACCCACGAACAAAAACAAAGAAAAGATCTCTTGTATGTGACGTCAAAGAAGCTCAATTTGGAGGACAAAACAAAAGAATTTCAATCTCCTGAGAATCGGAAACCTATTGTTTTGCCCTCCAAATTGAGCTGCATTCCGAAGTGCTTTAAGGGATCTATTTACAACTTTTTCGAAAAAGGTTTTTTGGAGGTTTCGTTGCATATTAAATACCAAGCCCGGAATGCAACATTCACGACTGGTGAATGCAATCAGTCTTCACGTCTTTCTGGCCTATTTTTTCTGTTCTGACTGAGGCTATATGGTTTGCAGCATGCAACGAAAGCTTCACCATCCTTATTCGAAATAACTGTAGGAATCCGAAGATTTTAAATATATTTGAATAAGTTTGAAAATCTACTTCCGTAATTTCATGGCTCCAAGCTTCAAGTTTTGGCTTCCTAAAAAAATATAATAGCTACTAACCTCAATTATCGTGTTGTTGAGGAAAATAAGAACGCGAGGTTTCTGCTATCTCCACAACTTCTAGACGTCTTGGTAAAGGTTTACTATCTCTGGCTGTTATGAATATGAAGAAAGAAAGAAGCCTAAACGCCCATAAATGTGTGTCTGAGTGTGTCTTGGTCGATAAACACTATTGATTCTCGACTACAGACTCTTTTGTACGGTTTTTTAAAAATCAAATAGAGCGTTTTCCAGGGCTGTCAACCCCCGAGATTTTCAAATCTGGAGAATTAATAGGGAAGGGACATGACGTCACAGCGCGTCAAAAAAGCGCGCGAATAGACGTCTTTGGCTTTGTAACATTTGATGTGATTGGATTATTTCTGACCAATCAGATTATCGCTTATATCAAATGGCCTGCTTGCAAAAACAGTTCATGAGGAACGTTTTGATTTTGTTAGCGATATAAAATAACACAAACAACATGAAATAATTGGAATTTCATGGTTGTGAAAGTCTAGTCTCACAAGACAAGAAATGGTCAGCTTCGGGGATTATCCGGGAGATTTGATACTCTAATCTGGAGACCAGGAGACACGGTCTAAAATCTGGAGACTCCCGGTTTATCTGGGAGAGTTGACAGCCCTGGTTTTCACTCAGTCCTTAGAGAGTTAACTGACGATAAAAATGGCGGCCATACAGGTGCACCCTTTGTCAAAGGTACACCAATATGGCGGCTGTGACGTCATGTGAACACGCTGTATAGGCCGCTGGCATGGTGGTGTCTACACCTACATGAGTCTGAGCAAAAGAAAGAGTGTAAGGAATGTAGGTACTTTTAGTTAATGAGGACATAATGAAAATGTCCTATTTGCAAAAGTCAACTGTAATGTAAAGAATGTGCAACTTGGACAAGTACGCAATTTTTTGAAATCCCACGGACTTTTAATGGTATTTGTGAATAGCTGACTCCATTATGAACGAGCCTAAACCTGTGCTAAATGAGTCTGTGGTCTCCAAAATTAAGTGATGTAAGAATAGGAAAGAGAATGATTATAGAACTGAGAATGAAAAAAATGTYTTTTTTCTCAGGTGCAGTTTTACTTCAACAAATCAATGTAACCAAAGATGGCGACATTTCAGTTCCCATAGCAACAAACATACTCGGCCATGACGTCACAGATGGAGTGAAGGGAAAACTGAAGTCTATTAGTAATATCGTAATAAGCTCTAATGGGCTTACCAAAGTATTTGTAGCGAATATACTATCAGACTCGGCTTACAGGACATGCATAGAGGGTTGTACCTCACAGGGGGAGGGGACAGAGATCAAATTGGCAGTGGAGTAGACGGTGGGGGGGAGGGGGCAGGGGTGGAAGAATTTGCTTTTGATTTGTATGCGGTTTTCTTCCAATTATGTGCGCTTTTCTGAGGTTAGAGTCAAAAAATATTGTCCTTATGTTGTATCCCAACGAGGACCAATTATGCATGAGCAAAGCTTCAATCTAAGGAACTAAGCCAAAAGATCGAATTGGAATTTAGTAAATTTAGAAATTAGTTTTGTAGAAGGAAGAAAACAGCGGAATACCTGGAAAGAATCCTTGAAAAACATGAGGGAACCAACAAGCAACTGTACTGTCATAGATGAAGGGTGTTAGAATCGAACCATAGTACGTGGTGACGCATTAGAGGCGCGCCCTATCTCAGGAAGTCTGCTTCTTAGATTGACTGTCTTCTGTCTGTCTGTCGTTCATCTTTGTGCGCGTAGTTTGTGCAGTCCCTAGTTTGTCTGTCTGTCGTGCATCTTCACCTTGTGTAGTTTGTGCAGTCCCTAATTTGTCCGTCTGTCGTGCATCTTCGCCTTGTGTAGTTTGTGCGGTCCCTAGTTTGTCTGCCTGTCTTTGCGTCTTCGTGTTGTTAGTTTGTGCGGTCCCTAGTTTGTCTGCCTGTCTTTGCGTCTT